CGATCGAAAAGTCGGCAGTTCAGCAGTTCGAATCCCTAGTGCTGCATAATAGGGTGAGCTCCCATTAGTTGTCCCAGCTTCTGCCAACCTAGCAGTTCGGAAGCATGTAAAAAATGCAAGTAGAAAAATAGGGATCACCTTTGGTGTGAAGTTAACAGCATTCCATGCGCCTTTGGCTGGCAACATGACTATGGAGACATCTTCAGACAGCACTGGCTCTTTGGCTTTGAAACAGATGAGCACTGCCCTCTAGAGTCGGAACGATTAGCACAGATGTGCGAGATCCTTATGGGATGCAAACCATTGTTGTAAATAAATATGTTACAGTCTAAGATTTTGCATTCTAGCACATTATTTCCTTTTTTTAATTAAAACTATCTTTTTAAGAAATCACTTAGATCAGGAGGACTTCTGATGCCAAAAAAGAGGTTCCCGTGGGCCTATTTGAACATATAATAAACCATGGCTTCAACCACTACTTTATCACCTCAGAATAAACTACAGTTTATTTACTGATTCCACATCACTGTAGCCCAGACCAATCACACTATAAATTAGAATGTTTAAACATAGTGATTAAAATATATATTTATTAAATATTGCTAGGAAATCCTTCTAAAATCAGTAGGAGCTATAGTGTAGATTGAGTTCAACTCTTCAAATGTGGTTTAAATTAATTTAAAATGTTTATTTGACAATAATTCCTTGGTTCAAACAAAGCTTCCTGTGTTATAAATCATATCTCATGAGCAAATCTGCATACTAATTGGCTCAGTAACAATTAGAACCAGGTCAGCCATTTTCCATTGATTTTAAATTATTTTTTTAATTTAAAAGAAGTTACCAGTTAGGCTGTATATAATTATATTGAATGCAAACCATTTACAAGTCAGTGAATGACAGCCAAACTCTCCATGGGAACATTTTCTGTTTTCTCATTTCTAGGGAATTCTTCTTACTTGCTGAAGCTCATGTATGCATAAGAACAGTGAAAATAATGTTTTTCCCTTCTGAATTATTGTTTTGTTCATCTAAATCCATCCAGGTTTATAGCTTTCTGGATTAATTAACTAAGATTGCTTTTATCTGGGGCAGCTCTAATTAAATACATTGGTCTTAAATTAAACAAAGTCATCATTTCTCAGCGTATCACATGAAACTTCTAATCATGCCACACACTCCCGTGTTTTGCCCTACTTTATTATTTTATTTTATCTCTTTTATTTTTATTTATTTTATTTTACTAGGTGCATATAGCGCTTCAGATGTCAGCTGAGCATCTTGCAGCAGTACAAGATTAATCCTAAATTGAATGAAATGCAGATTGAAATAAAAGATAATCCACTGGGTACCAAACCCTGTGGTCTTACTCTGACACCAGGAAAAAAGTGGGGAAGACAATTTTTTACTCTTCTGTTGAGGAACCAATATGGCCTCAGTAGGGTTGAAATACCTGTGCCAGCATCAGGGTTGGGTGTTGATAGATCTATGAGAGCTGGAAGGAGGGAAGTTGAGTCCATATCAACACTTCACATTTCATAGTGTATCCCTTCAGTGGTGGGATTGAAATTTTTTTACTACCAGTTCTGTGGACGTGGCTTGGTGGACGTGGCAGGGGAAGGTTACTGCAAAATCCCCATTTTCTCCCGATCAGCTGGGACTCGGGAGGCAGAGAATTGATGGGTGCAGGGCCAGTCAGAGGTGATATTTACCGGTTTTCTGAATTACTCAAAATTTCCGCTACCGATTCTCCAGAACTGGTCAGAACCTGCTGAATACCATCTCTGTATCCCTTCCAGAAGTAGCATTTGCAGGAATCCTTCACTCATTTAATTCATTAATTTATTCAATTTTTATCTCACCTTTCTGATCAAATCTTGACATGGTGAAGTTGTATTGGGGGGAGCTCTTTGTTCCTGCTCTCTATTGGAAGACGTCATTACCCCCTTCTGAAACCTCTCCGCCAGTCTTCAGAAATTTGCATCATGTTTGTATATGATATTTCGCCATGCTTTTTTTTCCCTCTTGGCCAAAAAAAAAGAAGAAGAAGAAGCTTAATTTTATCAGAAGGCCTAATTATTGTGAATCCTCTTGAGAGATGTGTAGAAACATTGCCGCTTGTTCATATAGAATGGATATTTAACTACACCTTTTAAAATGATTTGGGGGTATGATAAAACTCCAATCTATAGATGGACAATCATTCACAACCCTTTGTTTTTTAAAAAATATTTTTTATTAGATTATAGAATAAAATCGAATAAAATACAAAAATATGAAAGCAAATAATAGGTCATAGTAGGGAGGAAAAGGAGAAAGAAAAGTGAGGTGGGGAGGGAGAAAAGAAAAAAAAAGTGTTACTTCCGACTTTCTCTGTTGCAGTAGAATAGAGCATTAACATTGAACCAGGGGTGAAATGTTCCCGGTTTGGACCAGATCGCCCGATCCGGTAGCGATGGAGGTGGGTGGTTCGGAGAACCAGTAGCAAAAATCTCTCCCCCCCCATGCCCAGCTGAGCCACGCGATCATCACAGACTTTTTTTATTTATTTTTAAAAGCATTTTTTCTACAACCTCTTCAGCCGAAGAGGTTGTTAAAAAATGCTTTTAAAAGCCTCCGACGATACCAGCTGAGTTGCCCGATCATCAGAGGCTTTTAAAAGAAAAAAAAAGCCTCCGCTGATCAGACAACTCAGCTGAGATCGTCAGAGGCTTTTAAAAGAAAAAAAGCCTCTGCTGATCAGGCAACTCAGCTGGGATCGTCAGAGGCTTTTAAAAGCATTTTTTTACAACCTCTTTGGCTGAAGAGGTGGTAGAAAAAATGGTTTAAAAGTAAAAAAAAAAAAAGTTGGCCACGCCCACCCAGTCCCCCAAGCCGCACCCACAGAACCAGTAGTAACAAATTTTAGATTTAACCACTGCATTGAACCTCAACTTTTTACTTTTCCAAAACAATATAAAATAGCCATTTCTATGACAACAAATCAAAGTTTCACTTTTTTGCACCTCAAACACAAAGTCCAGAAGCCGTCTCCATGTAACAACAAAAGTACTTATATTCTTTTCCTTAATAAAAAACAGTCAATTTAGCCATTTCTGCCAGCTCCATAAACTTCTGTAGCCATTCATCCATGGTGAGAATTGAAATGTCCTTCCATTTTTGCACATACAGTAGTCTTGCTGCCGTCAACATATATAAAATCAAGGTTCCACATTTTTTTTCCTAAGTCTTTTTCCATTAAACCCAGAAAGAAAGTTTCTGGTTTCATCTTTGTCTTCATTTTAAGAATTTTCTGTATTAAAATATGAATCTTACTTCAAAATTTCTTTGCTTCACATGTTTACCATAAATGATAAAAGGCTTCTTTACTTTTACATTTCCAACATTCATTTGAGATACCTTTATACATTCTAGATAACTTATCTGGTGTTAAATACCAGGTATTTCACACGGAATAATCATTCATAACCTTTTGTGATTTGATGAACTGTATACAGATGTATTGTATATAATGAACCACATGACGTACTGGAATCCATTTGTGAATTTTTGACTTTAGATCCTTAACTAATGCGAACTATACTTGTTCCTTTTAGGATTATTATTTTTAAATCTAAAAATGCAAGCTTTTAATGCAGCTGTTTGTTTGTTCCTAATCATCTGAATGACGCTTTTCCTTACTTTCCCTCCTTGAGGAAATTGGAGGAATTAACCCTTAGCTGCCTAACTCTAGACCCCTAATCACTATTTATAAATATGACACCTTATGGTATTAGGAATGCTCTTATTTCAATCACATGCGAGGGAAATAGCAGGATTGTTTTACTGTGCATATTTGAGAAGGGAAAGAATATCTGCAAAGGATATGTGTTTTCCCTATTCTTTGTCATCATGGGAGAACATATATTTCTGGGGAAATAAAAGAAAAAGATAGCACCTTATTTAGTACTATTCAAAACACTTCATGGAACCAAGAAAGTTCTGTAATTAGTATGGAACAGAATACAGGTACTCCTCAACTTACAACAGTTCATTTAGTGACCTTTCAAAGTTACAACGGCACTGAAAAAAGTGACTTATGACCATTTTTCACAGTTATAACCTTTGCAGCAGCCCCATGATCATGTGATCAAACTCCAGATGCTTGGCAAGTGGTTCATATTTATGACCTTTGCTATGTCCCAAGATCATGTGATTCCCCTCTTTGCTGAAAAGCAAAGTCAATGAAAAGCCAAATTCACTTAATGACCAGGTTACTTACCCATCAACTGCTGTCATACTCTTAACAACTGAAGCAAGAATGGTTGTAAAATGGAACAAAATTAACTTGAACAAATGTCTCACTTAACAACATAAATTTTGGGCTCTATTGTGATCGTAAATCGAGGACTACCTGTAGTATAAAACAATATTTCTCAATCTCAGCAGCTTTATGATGAATTGACTTCAATTCCCAGAATTCCTCAGCTAGCCATGCTGGCTGGAGAATTCTGGGCATTGATATCTATATATTTAAATGTTGCTGAGATTGAGAAACATTGACCTAAACCCAAAAACAAATTTGCTTGAGCCTTGATAACTGACCAAGGACATGTGCTCTCCGGGGTTAACTTGGAGCATCATCTGGCTCTGTCTGTCTCCCTTCATATTGTTGGGCTGCAACTTTCATCATTTGTCAGCATTAGCTAGCACTAATAGTTGAAATTTGGCAATATCATCCAAGTCTTGATTTGGCTGGACAAACTTCCTAAAATATGAAAAGAACAAGAATTAAACAAATTTGTCTTCTTAAGTGCACCATAACTAAATTCAGCCTGGATTAGAAAGACCACAGTGTTTCATTTCATAGGTTGAGAACATGACAAAGGTATTATTGAAGGGAGGTTGAGCATCTGCAGAACCAGATATATAGCATGGCATGAGATTCACTCAGAACATTGATAGACTACACTGCCACTGTACAAAGCTCATGAATGGAGGTAATCTCCTTTTTTCTGTAGATGGAGTTGGGAAAAGGTTGGAGGTTAACCACACCACAGCCATTTCAGATGTTCAAGGTAAGATGGAAGAAATTCACCTTGCTTGGGGATATTTCCCTTATCAAAGGTAAAACTAGAAAAATGCTTGCCTGTCCAAGCTGAAAATGAATTGCATACATAAGGCTATGGAAGCTAAAGTGGATCATATGTTATTGCATAATTTCTGTGCTGTAAACAGTAATCACACTAACCTCTTTCATCTTCATCTATGGCTATAATGGCTTCTCATGGATACTGAAAGCTAGCACTAGTTATCTTGCTAAGGACATATGCTTAATTTCATATTCCATTTTCAAGGCATTTCTGCTCTGATTTTTTTCAATCTATTTGAAGTTATAATTACTTAGGAAATATTTTTTTTTTTTAGATTCTGTGGTATGTATAAACGTTGCATGCACAATGTTTCATTAGGGACCGACGGCCATCACAGATTTATTTGAAAATGTGACCGCGGAATGCGTTGTCTTATTCTGCACTCACAAACACTATCCCCATTTACATTGGATACCAATAAATCCAAAATCAGTATCCACACTTTTGAATTCATTTGCTTAGTTTGACCATTTGTTTCTTTTCCAAGTTTCTACTTTGAAATGGAGGACTGGATGGGGGGATGCATGCTGTTTTGATAATAGAGGAATGTGCTTTGCCGAAACAGTTCAACTTTGCATGAAAACATGATTCTTCACTCAAAACATAATGGATAGATATTGTAGGGCTTAGCGAAGTTAAATGGAGAACAAATTGGGATGAAATGACTGTTGTGTAAGGAGGACCTAAAACTGAAGAGTTACATTTTATGAGTCTCACCCATTCCCACATGTATATGTTTTTTTTCCAAATCTAGATAATTTTCAAACCAAATGTGTAAGATTAATGGTAATACTGAATTATGCAACAGATTCTGGATTTCATAGTTAGCTACATATAAGCAAACAATGCAGATGTTGCTTTTGCTATATTACATTCATTATTTCAGTAATCTTTTGTTAATAATCTTTCCAGGATTCAGTTGCATAACTTAAAATTGTTGATGATGGTCATACTAGTTGTGTTACTGTGAAGTATGGGGACAGGATAAGGCTTTTAAAAATTTGTTACTGAATGTCATTGAGGAGTTCAATTCTACAATCCCTGCTGTCCTGCATGAATGATGAAGACCATTATTACTCATGGATCCCCTATGCCAGGGGTGGGCAAATGTGGCTCTTTTACAACCTGTGGACTTCAACTCCCAGAATTCCTGAGCAGCTCAGGAATTCTGGGAGTTGAAGTCCACAGGTTGTAAAAGAGCCACATTTGCCCACCCCTGCCCTATGCCATGAAGGTTCCATAAAACATGGACAAATCAGGTGGGATAATATCATGGACACCAATGTGCCATCTTTTTATACAGATAGCATCATTTTATTTTGGATATAGCTTCTTCCCTTGGGACAGAAATACTGTATCTAAGGGATTCAAGCATCGGGGGAAAAGGAGACATCACTCTTGATTAAAATAGCACTGTCAAGAGATTTAACTCTGCTGAAGGCTTCCACTACTTCAGGAGCCTGGCACACGATTAAAAAAAAAAAAGAGTGTTGTGAAAAATGCACTGAAGGTACTTTATATTACGTTTACTAGTAAAGTGCAATTCCAATGAATTTGGAATGCCTTCCAGCTTCATCCATTTTTGTGTAAATGTAGATTACCCTACATTTTCTGATGTAAGAAAAATACATATGTGTAAGAAAGTGGTATGGAATGAAAAAGCATAATACTCATCTAGACTGAATGGCTTAGAAAATTAATTACTTTTGTGGTTGGCTTCAGCCATCAAGATGACAAAGAATGCAGCCACATTCAAAAAAAAAATTGAGCAATGATATAAGCGATATTGACCAGATTTATTGATCTAAAGATGACATGTCAAAATAATTGGCCAGCACTGTTTTTTGGCCGCAGAAAGGAAACCATGATTTATCGATAGGAATTAACACAGCAATCACATAGATTAACCAGCATGTCAGACTTTTTCCTCTGCAAGCAAGAATTAAATTTGAAATGCTTTTTTTTTAAGCACAGAATTATCATGCCCTGTGAACCCCAGTTTCCCATCTTGATCACACAACATTGACTTCAACCCATGAGTACAGTTTCAAATTGTCATCTGCTCTATCACAATATCAATAGTGCCTCCCCCGTTCAGCCAAGACTATGTTACTAAAATGGCTGAACATGCTAAATCTATAACACTTTACCAACCATAAGGAGAGGATGGTGCAGTGGTTAGAATGCAGTTTTGCAGGCTAATTCAGCTCACTGCCAGGAGTTTGATCCTCGACAGCTAACAGTTGACTCAGCCTTCCATCCTTGTGAGATCGGTAAAATGAGGACCCAAATTGTTGGGGAAAATATGCTGAGTCTGTAAATCGCTTAGAGATTTGTTTTAAATATGGGGATGTTTTTTAATTCGTCTTGGGCCAAATTGTTTAATACGTTTTTATACTGTTTTAAATTTTATAATCTGTGTGTTTTATCTTTTTGGCTGTTCACCGCCCTGAGTCCTTCGGGAGTAGGGTGGTATATAAATCTAATAAAATTAAAATAATAAAAATAAAAATAAATTAGCCAACCTCCATTGCCACCATTTCTCCCCCAGTAGTTGTTCTATTACCACTACGTTTGCAGAGTTCTTCCTCTAACTCTTACTAGCCACCCTCCCCGTTTTTGCAGAAAGTTTATTTTCAAGGCTTCCAAGAAAAGAGGAGAGGAGAGGAGAGGAAAAACTTACTATTGGGAAAAGAACAGGGATATATATCCAACAATATCTGTGTTAGCACAAGTCAACCATTTACTAGTGGAGATCCTTGCCTTTAGATACAGCATCTCTTGGATTGTCCTGGAAATAATGAGGGATGTTGATCTAGGCTTTTGTTGTTTATTTGCCACTTTCCTTTATTTGTCCATTTTGATCACCCTTAGTCAGTTTCAGTTATACTCTATAGCAGAGGTGTCACACTCACGGCCCGCAGGTCAGATGCATCCTTTGCTGGCCACGCCCACCCCTGGTTTAGCGAAGGGGGGGGAACGTCACGATGTATCACATGGTGACAACGTGACATCGTGAATTTGACACCCGTGCTCTATATAGGATTTAGCTGGTTGCACAGTGAGGCCAGGATCTGTCTCCTTTCTCCCTGCAATTTGTGACCTGTTGCGTTCCCATGTGCTTTTTTGCATCACATTCTTTTGAACTTGTGAGTTGGCATCCCAATGGAGTTGGGAGGAGGGGTTAAACCCAAGTACGTATAGAAGCCCAGGCATAAATTGTGGAATTGTGCAATAATATCAGGGCCATCTATTGTATCTGCTTTGTCCCACTGGTGGATGTCTTCTCCACTAGCTAGTATTTTTTCCTGTTGCCCTGATACACTCCCAGATCAGGATACCTTTGGGTTGGATCAGATGGGAATAATAATTGGCTTCAGGGCAACAAAAGTGACAAATTTGTTATGCACCAAGGAAGGGAGTGACCTTCTAAGTTAGTAAAAAATTTATATTGATGTTAAACAAATTTTATTTAATTTGTCTATAGCCACAATGGCTAGAAGAAGCACATTTTACTTTTTAAAAAGCCTGACATTTACTTATACAAACAGAACTTTCTTTTAGTTATTGACCAATAAAAATACAATTAATAAAATGAATTTAAAACTATTCCCTAACAGCAAGAACTATGAGCAATCATTTGTGGGGGAAGCTTATACATAATGTAGCAAAAGGGCCTTGACAGACTTGAACATTGGGCTCTATCTAACAAAATGAAATTGAATGGTGAAAAAAGTAAAGTTCTACAGGTATGCAAAAACAACAACAACAAATGCACAGGTATAGAATGGGTGATACCTGGGTAATAGTAGTAATTGTGAGAGGGATCTTGGAGTCCTAGTGGACAATTGCTTAAATATGAGCCAGCAGTGTGCTGCAACTGCCAAAAAAGCCAGCACAGTCCTAGGCTGCATTAAGAGAGGGATAGAATTAAGATCATGTGAAGTGTTAATATCACTTTATAATGCCTTCGTAAGACCACACTTGGCATAGTACATCCAGTTTTGATCACCACAATATAAAAAGATGTTGAGACTCTAGAAAGAGTGCGAAGAGCAAAAAAAAAAATGATAGGAGACTGGAGGCTAAAACATACAAAGAATGGTTGCAGGAATTGGGATGTCTAGTCTAGTGAAAAGAAGAACTAGGGCTAACATGATAGCAGTGTTCCAATATCCACAAAGAAGAGGCTGCCACAAAGAGGAGGGGGTCAACCTTTTTTCTAAAGCACCTGAAGTCAGGACATGGAGCAACGGATGGAAACTAATCAAGGAGAGAAACAACCTAGAGCTAAGGAGAAATTTCCTGACAGAACAATTAATCAGTGGAACAACTTGTTTTGAGAAGTTGTGGGTGCTCCAACACTGGAGGTTTTTAAGAAGAGATTTGACAACCATTTGTCTAATTTGCAGGAAATATTAAGAGTATTAAATCAATTTCAAGCCATTATCCCATATCTAATGCTGAACCATCAGATGACTTTCTTGGTTAGGGTAGTCTGAATCCAGCTTTAAGGCTTAATGCTATATGTGTACTAAATAGCTCTAATTTGTGTAATCAGTCATTAAGATTTCTGGGTCATTATAATGTTATAATGGCTATTTCAAAGCCATTAACTATAGTTTACTTGTTTTGATGAAATATCAAGCTATAGTCATTGAAACTTTTGCTTGCTTGCACAAAAGGAAAAATGAAGCAACTGCATTTCTATCCCAACTTATTAAAGAAGACATGACAATCTAATCACTTGCTTTGGTTTGTTTCTTATTCCTCTTGTTACTTAGGGAAAGGATTGCCGAACTAAGCCAAAGCCAATAAATTAGGTCCCAGCATGATGTGTGAACCTGCCATTTTCTTAATCAACTTGTCCATGGATTCACTGATATTAACTGGACAATTAAAGGCTTTAAAGAGTCGTATCTTAT